TGAATAGGGCGCTGAGTGGCACGCGGTGAGCGCCGCGACGACGGCGAGGACGGCGACGGCTAGAGGCGCCGCCAGGCCTGCCGATTGGTGCGGCTTCCGGCGGCGACGAGGACAAGGCGACGAAGCGAGGCGAGAGCACGAGAGTGTGGTCGCCAGAGCACAGTCGAGAGCACGACGGCGCGAGCGCTCAGGAAGCGACGTCCCTTTCTTCCACGCCTGGTTCCCGCAGACAGACGGACGGACGGACGGACGGACAGACGGACAGACAGACAGACAGACAGACACAGACAGACAGACACAGACAGACAGACAGACAGACAGACAGACAGACAGCTCTGTGCAGCGAGGCCGGGCTGGCGGTGCTTTCCTGAACCACGGCGGCGACCACCACGACGAGAGCCCCGTGCGGGTGTAACTTGTTTGCGGGCTCTGGCCGGGCCAGGCGGACCGCGACGTGCCCCGATGCCTGTTTACAGGCCGGTCGCATACTACCCTGTTTATCCGCGTGGTTGCTAGCGAGGCCGGCCCGGCCCGGCCCGGCACTGCCTGGCACCGTGGGGGTGAGTCCAAGTCAAACACGTCGTCCGAATTGTGTGCACTTCCCTGCTGCTACGGCGGCGGCGTCCCTTTCGGCCGCTCCGCCCTCCACCACCTCATGTATTCTATCTCTGTCCTCGGCGTCCTCGGCGGCCTCCGCAAAGAGCGCGTGTATTGAAGGGCGACGAAAAGCGACGGCTCCCCCGCGCGCCAATTCGACCGCAAAACTGCGCGCCGCCGACCGTTTTTGGAGTGAAAGAGCTTCAATGGAGGAAGCGGGAGTGGTGGGTGGGGGGGAGAGAGGGAGAGGGTAGTGCAGGAACGAGTGGCGCGTCATCAGCCTAGCTGTGAATAATGCTTCCCTGGACGAAACTGACCTCGGCCTCCTCCCGGCCCGGCCCTGCCCACGGCCTCGGCGACTCCCTGGAGGTTCATTTGCGGCGGGATGGCCGTCTGGCCGGTGGCGGTGGCGATTGCCGCCTCGGAGTCAAAGCGCGCGAGGATGTATTGCCTGCGCCACTCCCCGAGGCCTCCCCGAGGACCGACCCGGACCCGGACCGCCGAAGGCCCGACGGCCCGAAGGCCAGCAGCCGGGGCCCAGGGCAGCGGCACTATACAGGCCGAACAGCGTTTTTGTTTTAAGGGCGAAATAGGATAGCGTTTGGCGGTGGGGCATCTTGAGCGGGTCCGCTCCCGCAGGGCCGCCCCGGGGGTCGTGAAGGGAAGCCGTGTGGCGCGGGGTGGGGCGGGGCGGGGCGGGGCGGGGCGGGCTGCAGTCCGACTGGTTGTGTTGGGCGTCAATGAGGCGCGCGGGGAGGCGAGGCGCCTCAGCTTAACCTCCACCGCGATAGCGCGCACGCCGGCGGGGCGGGGCGGGCGGCACTCAGGACGTGGGGCGGTGGGCCGGGGCCGGAGATAAGGGATGCAAGGTGTGGGTCGCGCGAACACCCACACACTCACACACAGTCAATGTGTGATCATGTCAGCCGCCGCTGCACTTGCTGCCACGCCTCCGACCCCTTCGTTGCCGCCCGCCGCTGCTGTGCTGCCGGCGGACGGTGTGGGTGGAAAAGGAGAAAAAGAAGCAGCTGAAAAACGAAACCGCGTGGCCGGGCGTGGCCGGGCGTGGCGGGGCCGGTGCGGCGGATTGAACGCAGTGACGCGCGGTGGCGGGTGGCGGTGCGGTGGTGGTGGGAGGCGGCGAGGCGACGCGGTGCAGTGGCAGTGTGGCGGCGTGGCAGCGCGGCAGCGCGCGCCCCTCATAATTTCTCGCAACGGCGCCCCCTAGATTTGTGGAACTTCTCAATCCTCGTGAAGCTTTTGCTAATGTGCGGAAAGCGAGCAAATAAAACGTCTTGACACGTGTGCATGGAAATATATTTTTCCTCTCTGTCGGAAGAGACGTGTTCGCGCGCGCGCGCGCTCTCTCTCTCTCTCCTCTCTCTCTCTCTCTCTCTCTCTCTCTCTCTCTCTCTCTCTCTCTCACACCCACCCACCCACATGCACACGCACACAGTCTCACACACGCACACAGTCAAACGAGAGGCACACGACGACATGATATGGAGGGCGCGGTGCCAACAGCTTACAAACAGCCGTGTGAGCGGCTTCGCCCCCCCCCCCCCCCGCGCCTCCGCGGAGTGTACCCACCGATTCCACGAGGCTCCGCCTGCGCACGTGTTTGACCCCATACACCCCCTTGCCCTGCGTCTTGGTGCGTTGGTTCTCCTGTTCTCGTGGCATGCTGTGAAGTGGTGGATGTACCTTGCGTCGCGATCCGGTGCTATCGCCTGCCTGGTGACGCCCCGGGAGCGCGACTTGGTGCGCGCCTGTTGTCTATCGCCTGTTTTCGTCGTCCGTGGCATCGCGTGCGTAGGTGCGCGCCTGGATGCTACGCTGCCTGCAGCGCTCCCCGGGCACGCGCGCGTGGGTGCGCGCCTGGTTGCCTATCGCCTGCCTGCCAGGCGCTCCCCGTGGCAGTCCCGCGGCGCGTGGGTGCGCGCCTGGTTGCCTATCGCCTGCCTGTCAGGCGCTCCCCGCAGGCAGCCGCACCGCCTCCCCCTCGACCGACAACGCCAAGCCCTCCGCGAGCGCGGCTAGGGTGGGCTTCCAGGGTTGGTAGGCCATGGGCTGGTGGGGCCTCCCCCGCCCTCGCGCCCTCGGCCGGCCTGGTGGCGAGAGGCCAAGGCTGCCAAGGCAGCCAAGGCGGGCCATGCCTCTTGTCCCTGCAGTATTTCCATGGGACACACTTTTCTTGTCCTGACGGTGCCCTGGTCCCGGTGTCCTGGTTGCAGGAGGCCCGCGCCGCGCTTCCCTGTCAGCGGCCACCTTGAATCCTGGAATCTGCACCGCCCCGTTTTCAGCCCAGTCCTGTGCGCCCTGCGGGAGCGGGGCGAGTGCAGTCTGTCTGTATCGACAGAGATCCTTCCCCGCGCTTGTCGCTTTGACGACAGGAGCTGGTTTGTGTTTTCCGAGTGCTTTGTTTTCGTTGTTTGAGGCTGCCTTACAGAGAGACTCGATCCTCTGAAGCGCGCGGGGCGTACAGAAGCGTGCTCAGAATTCTTTTTGAAAAGCCATGCGCCTTTTGACCACATTCCGGAGGAATGCATTGCAATTTGCTTACCCTTCTGATGCCTACCCCTTCACTCGCCACTTTCAGTGGCGTAGGCCGATGCCTTGCAGTGTGCCTTGCAGTGTGCCTTGCAGTCGCTTTGCTTGGCATTCCGACCGGCGGATTCGATTCCTCGCCGGTCCGCGGCCGTTCGCTGTCGCGGGGGATTAGATTATCGAGCTCCAGTGGCGGGCTTACTCGGTTTGCCTTTCAGTCGAAATGAGCGGCAGGCCGGCAGGCCGGAGTGAGGGGCACCTTGAATTCTCCTCGGCCGGAGATCCCCTTGCCGCGAACGCCGCCGACGCCGAGGCGAACGCCGCGAGCGGAATTGGGAAGCACCGGGAAAGGCGGGCGAAGACAGGCGAAGCCGCCAAAGCAGGCGAAGCAGGCCGGGCAGGCCAACAACAAATCTTTGCGGGACGAGCAGGGCGTGCGGCAAGTTGTTAACAAGCGAGGACCTCGTTGGTATTCGCGCTGCCTGGCGCCGCCCGGCCGCACCACCAACCGGAACTCACCTGCCGACCCATTCAGCCTCTCCGAAGGCCGTCTCGCCGCTCTGTCTCGCTCGCACACCTACGGGACGCGCCATACGAGTACGACAGACATAGAGAGAGAGCGCAACTCTTTGCAACAGCTCATTGAATTAGTGGTGCCGAACCGCCAGTCGATAAAAGAAGCGGCCGCGGGGAAGGTCGCGCCGCGTCGACGCTCTGCCGCGAGCCGCGAGGCACCAACAACAACAACAGCAGCAGCCCCTGCTGCGTCCCGGTCGTCCCGGGGCATTCCTGGAGCCCTCCGCGCGGCGCCCCTACCTCGCGGCCGGCAAATAAAATCGACAAATTACGAGAAGAAGCCCTCTCGCTTTCCTTTGCGCCGCGCGCCTCGCGCGCCTCGCTCCCCGTGGCTTTTTTCTGTATTTCTTGGTGATGCCTAATCGGCTTTATTGCTCCTGAAAAGTACTGCGGACTGATTCCGAGCGGCGTCGCTCTGTCTCTCTCGTTTTCATGGGGCGTTCCGATTGGTGCGAGTGAGACAGAGACTTTCGGAATGAGTCTGCTGCCGCCGCCGCGGCGCTCCAGCTCCAGGCCCTCCTTCGCGGAGCGGGGAGCGAGCCCCTTCCAGCCCGACTCCCTCTCGCCGCCGCGCCGGCCGAACGCGCGTGATTATTTTCATTAATTTGATAGTCCGAGCGGGCGGAGGGGAAAGGGGGGGGGGGTGATGTAGCGCGGGACGGCGCGACGCCGGAGTCGAGAAGTACCAAGTTCCGCGGGCGATAACTCGAGGCGGACTGGCGTGGCGCGGCGCGGCGTCTGGGGGGGTTGCTCTTCCTCTTGCCTCCTCATTTCGCCACAATCGCCACTACTTACCCCCTTCCCTCGGCCCTCGGCCCCCGGGGCCCTCGGCTGCGGGGCCTGCAGGGCCCGCGGGGCCCGGGCTGCGGCAGACGACCGCGCCGTGCCATCCGCGGGGCGTGGCGGTGCGGGGGGCACACGCGTGAGGCGCGCGAGTTTGCGCCCCGCTGGGGCCCTGCATGCTCCCTTCCCCCTTTCCCGCGCCCACACGGCGCCGCAGCCAGCCAGCTCCGCCAGCCCAGCGAGCAAATTGGCGAGGTGATTATTTTAATGCGAGTACCGCGGCGGTTGGTCGGAACGTGCCGCACAGGCCATGTGCGAATGCGGGGCGGGGCGGGGGCGGGGCGGGGCGGGGCGGGGCGTGCGGCAGCCCTCTGCGCAGACCGCCGCGACGGCCCTCAATGTCCTCATCCTCGTCGGGACCCGCGTTGAGGAGGCGAAAAAATTAACGTTGTTTTTAGCAGATGATACCTTTACACATTAATGTTTTTGTTCGGCAGGTACTGTGGATGCGCACCTGGCCCATCCAGGTGCTGACCCACGGTGAGATGGTGTTCGCGTCCTCGCTGCGCTTCTCCGTCTGGCACGGCGGCGGCGGCGACGCCTGGACCCTCAAGCTGACGGGCGCGCGGCCGGAGGACTCGGGCCGCTACGAGTGCCAGGTCAACACGGACCCCAAGATGAGCCTGGGCATCGCGCTGCAGGTTGCAGGTAATGTTGGGCTGCTTTGGCCAGTGCTGTCACACACTGAGGCAGGAGGCAAAAATTCCCAGGTTGGCAACCCTTTCGACAGTGGGGCATCGATGGGAATGTTTGCCTACTTGTGTTGGGAAGTAGGTAAGAGATGCATGCACGGGTCCGGAAGGCTCACAGTCTGCGAGAGAGAAGCCTGCCGAAACACCCCGCCGTAAAGCCTTGATGTCCGCAGGCCTCGCGCATTGCTGCTCTTATTCCTGCGTTGCCACCACTTTCCTCTTTCCGTCTGTGTCGTAAACGTGTGTTGCCTGGCGCGGCGCTTGGCACGGCGTGAGGCTGGGATCAAGGAATGCACGCACGTGCGTGTGCTGCATACACTCCGCAGTCGTGTCCCTTATACGCCCCAATAAAATGCCTGCGCTCCCATTCGTGATTGCCTCCGGGGAGAATAAGACAATTGTTTCGGGAAAGGAATAATAATGAAGAGATGAGGGCCCTGCCAACTTTGTCGTTTCTTAGTCTGACTCTTGGTTTTGATGCGTGTTGCAGAGGACATCCAGGACTTCCCCAGCGACCAGCAACACGTGGACGCCCCGGCGCCGACCCCAGGTGCGTAGCTCGACGGGGTTCCTGCTCACGCCGCTGGAAACTTCAAACCGGCGTGGCGTCCTTGGGGCTGGCTCGCTCGCTTGCTGGGGCCTTCCCTCCAGGCGCTGCGGGTTTCCCAGTCGCACCGCCCTGCCCCTGCCCCGCCCCCTCCCCCGCCACCCCGCCGTGCCTCCACCCTCGCCCCAGCGTTGAGGTCCTGCGTGCAGCCGTGGTTGGCGGCGGCTGCCCCCGTCACGCCCGCCCCGCCCTGTGCCCCCTCGGGAACAAGGCAGCGAAAGTCGTCAAGGGAGCGCGGCCGCGGGGCGGGGGTGGGGTGGGACGGGCGGGGCAGGGCGGGGCGGCTGCCAGCGCCTGTTTATACGCGCAGTAAAAGGCTGCCGAACGTAATGGGAGGTGAATATGAATACCAATGCGAATCGTCCCGGCGTGTGAACGCCCTCGCCGCCCTCGCAGACACGCGGCGCGTCGGGACGGAGCCACCGCGGCGCCGCGGAACGTTTTTTGTGCACGAGTCTGGCTTCGGTTCGTGGCGGGGCGGGGCGGGGTGGGCCTCGAGGCATTACATTCAAAGGAAGCCCCGCCCGGCCTCGAGTTACACCGGGGTGCTCGCTTCCAGTCTCGTTTACTCATCCGGGCCAAAAGGGCAAAACACGGCGCCTCGTTGGCGAGTTTGCCAGCCAGGCCGTTCGGCGCCGTTCGCCTCGGCACGCCCGTATTTTCATCATCTCCACTTCGGCCGTGGGCCGTGCCGGCCGTGCCGGCTGTGCCGCGCGGCGGTGCATGGCGGCACGGCGTCCCGCGGCTGCGGCCCGCGCGAATGGCCCATCCCGGCCTCGGCCATCTCGCACTCGGCCAGACGGGGCGCGGCGCGGTCGGGTCGCCCTCGTTAAAACGCCCCGGCGGCAATGAGCATAGGGGGTCCCGGCCGGGGTGGGGGTGGAGCTTTTTGCGAGACGATTGTGACAATGAACTCGTAAAAGTGATGTATGCAGGACGGGGCGGCGAGTCGCCAGCGTGCGGGACGGCCTGGGGCTCCGGGTCTGGGGGGCCGCCCCGCTAGCGTAGCTCCAGATGCAGTCGTGCGTCATTCCACGGACCCAGTGCTGGCCAGTCCTCCTCCAACTTGGCCTGCTTGTCCTGGCCACGTCGTGCAGCGCGCCTGCGGAACTGCAGCAGGCAGCGCGGCGCGCGCTTGCGTCCGATGGGTTGCCTAACCTCCCGGCGCTCTTGTTGCAGACGACGGCAGCGCCATGCTGGCCGGGCCGCGGCTCGTCAACCGGGGCACCACCGTCACCTTCAACTGCGTGGCGGACGCCCCCGCGCCCGGCGACGCGGCCGCCGCCAACGCCGCCACCGTCGAGTGGCTCTACAACGGGCAGCTCATGAACGTGCAGGTGGGTAGCATCAGCCACACCCGTCGGGGGCAGCGGACCCTCAGAGAGTAACGCTGTGTTTGTTTGTGGTTGCAGTCCGGCCGCGGCGGCATCAGCGTGGAGACGGAGCGCGACGACCAGAAGATCCGCAGCCGGCTGACGGTGGCCTCCGTGTCGGCCTCCGACGCGGGGACCTACACGTGCGCGCCGGCCGGGGCGCGCCCCGACTCCATCCTGCTCATGGTCGGCGACGGCGAGCGCACCGAGGCCATGCACCGCGGTGCCTGCCCCCGGCCGGCCGCCTCCCAGGCCCTCGCCGTCGTCGCCGTGCTCGCCACATTCCTGTCGTGGCGGCTCCGCGCGTGTTGACGACAGCCGCACGCGTGGTTCGGCAAGTGAACGGGCCCAAGACTGTCAAGTGACATTGGACACTATTGGCAACATGGTTGGCGTTGGCCTCTGTGAAGTGTTGTTAGGTTCTCACACTCAAAGATAACGTAATATGAAGTGTGACACTGTATTTCGAATCATTCCTGTCTTTTATGGGGCTTTCTTTTTCTGTTGCGTTGGTGCAGATGTGTTTTTATTCGAGTGCGCAGAGTGATAGTGAAAACAATGGCTTTACCATGCGATTTTGTTATGTGATACGTATATATTGTTTCTTGTGCCACGGCAAAAAAATATCTGTACATTGAAGATGATGTTTTGCATGAAACTGCAGTAATATACACTGTGTGAATGGGGCAACGTAGGATGTGTACGTATACTTTGCCTTTATTTATATTAAGATAAGTTGTATTTACATGATATTTTAATGATCAACAATATTTTGTTTCTACGCACACATTTTCTAGTACTCTTTTGAAGAACCAACGATTTGTTTCTTACCATTTTTATGTTTGATGATGTACATACTATACTAAGGTAAACAGGAGCAAATCAAGTAATCTAATTCTTACCCAATTTTTGACAAACCTAGTTTAAACCATACTTGACCTATTGTATATGACAGACAAATTGCTTTGAAAGTCAAAAGAACAAGGAGCAGATCATAAGACCAACCTATTTTTGACCGTTATGAAATAGAAAATTAAATAAAAATGTAAAATAAAAATATTTGCATTTTGGACCAATTTTTTTTTACCTACCATTTATGATTTATTTAATGAATTAAACACATCTTTGTATTTTGTAAATAACTTGTCTCTGTAAACTGGTTCCAAAGAGGCAGCGCTCTGAACTGCGTCCCTTGACTTAAATGATTTAAAAAATCTAATTGAGAATGCTTTATGGATACATTTCAAATAAAAGGGCAAGGAAAGGTGTCAGCTATCCCATGTAATTGCATTCTCTCAATTTGAATAAGGAATAACATTGGATGGTGACCAAAGTACACAGGTACCACCAACTTTTAAGCGATTTTACGCTAGTAGTAGCTTAAATGCTCCTTGACGGAACTGTTGCATATTGGTGCTGCACCATGTACGCTACGGAATCCAATGAAAATTCTGTTTCCGCTTTTCCTGGGCTCCTCTTTCCCCGGACGCCTTTTACAGGTGCGGAAGGATGGCGTTGGGTTGCAGCCCTTAGCGGACCTAACGCCTCGGAGGTGCGCTCGATGGCCCCGCCCCGCCACGCCCCGCCAGCCGTTCTCTCTGTCGGTCTTTTGAACTGAGCGCGCGCCGCCCCGCGCCCGGCGCGGCAGCCCCGGTTCAAGGGGAGGGGAGCAGTAAATTGGAACTTCTTGTTATTTTAATGAGCAGGGTTTCACAACTTGATTCAGCAATGGCGCCGCCGACAAGCTCGATCTGAGCCGTGGGGAGACAGGTGACAACCACGTGCGCGGAAATGCACTGGCGGTGAAGACACGACGACATCGCCACCTTCGGCCAACCACGGCGGGGCTTCGAGGAGTGCATGTTACATTGGAGTCCACGGGGCGTGAGCCCAAAATTGTGGCAGGGCCTACGGCAAGGAAACATGCGGCCTTTTAACGAAAGACGGTCCGCCGTGAAGGGCGACTGACAGTTCTCAAAGATTTTTTGGAGGAAGGTTTTATTAGTCGAGCATCCTAAGTTCAAAATATGTTTTTTGAACGTTTAAGTCCGAAAACTTATAATGGACCAAAGTGGAGTATGTTGTGCTGAAGTACTCCCTAATGACTCCTGACAAAATTTGGAGGGCCGTGTCGGCAATGAACAGTCCTTTCCTAGCGACAAAGTCGGCATTACTACACCGCGCCGGGAAGATAGACCACCCTTTTGGCAGTCACAGGGAAGACGTGCCAAACATTTTACCAGCAGAAAGCAACGTTGGGCAGTCGAACTCTGATCCTTTACAGCGGTCCGTGGCCGCTTCCTCTGCGCTACTGAGCCACATTTACATATATCTCCTTAAAGGCTCGACCTACATATAGGTCTCATAAGACCGCGCCTCAAAAAAATTGAATATTTTGTTGTTTTTTCTCGTTACTATACAACGCTGGCGCAACGCCACAACATCCTGGCTCAATTTTTTTCTCCTCCGTATCACACGACCACCCACTCGAAAGGGCAGACAAAAATAAAAGTAAAATTAAAGCCAAGCGAGAAAAAAAATATTTGGACGCGTACACCGGACTCTCCACGACGCTGCGGACGCTGCCTGCTTGCCCGACTGTCCAGCATTGTTGCCGGCGGAGCACCCGTCTGCATTCCAGTGTTCCAGCAGACTGATTCCGAGAGTCGTTTTCGTCGCGCTCTGTCTCTCTCGCACTCATGGGGCGTGCCGTACAGGTGCGAGGGAGACGGAGCGACGAGTGCGACTGGAATCAGTCTGAAGGGCACTCACCGCGAACTAGCGCGAACCGAGCAGCGCGCAGCTAGTGGCCCCCGTCAACAATTCAGACCCGACCAATCAAACTGAGTCAAACCGGCAAGAATGCGGGCCCCGCTGAGGGCTTGCGGGACCCTGTGGGCCCTGTGGGGCTCTGCTTGTTTCGGTGAGCCCCTCGGTGCACCGGGGCCGAGCATAGCCGAGCTTAGCCGAGCCGGGGCCGAGGAGATGGTTTCGTTGGCGCCGCCGCGGCACCTTCACACCTCTTCACCGCCAGCCCGGCCCGACCCCCCTGGAGCCTGGAGGGTGTGGGGCAGGCTGCAGCAACAACCACTGCCACGCCCTGCGCAGCCCTGCGCCGCTACAACAACTATCTGAATGCGAGAAGCCATCGCCATAACTCAAGCGGAGCAGTGTGTGTGTGTGAGCGCGCATGTGTGTGCGTGTGCCACCCCCTATTCGGCCGATGTAAAAAGGAGTAGGGGGCTCTGGCACGCCCTGGCAGCAGCGAGCACGCCGACGACCGTCCTTCCCTGTCGCCCTGCGCAGCCTGGCGCAGCGTGGCGCAGCGTGGCGTGGCCCTGCGGTGCCGAGAGGAGCTCCGCCGCGCTGGCTGAGCCAAGCGCCAAGCACAAGCAGCCTCCCGCCTGAAAGCAGAGAAAAGAGGGGGAGGGGGCTGACGCACGACATGGCCGACTCATTCGCCCTGCGCATGTCCTCACGGCATGTATCTCCATGCAGAATGCAAGGACTGTGTGTGGGGAGGAAGAGAGGAGAGAGAGAGAGAGAGAGAGAGAGAGAGAGAGAGAGAGAGAGAGAGAGAGAGAGAGAGAGAGAGAGAGAGAGAGAGAGAGAATGTGTTTGTGTGTGTGCAGCGGGATCCAAGGACGCCCCTTCTCCGAGGCAGGAAACTTCTGAGGGATACGCCAGCCTTAGGGCCAGCTGTGGCACGATGGGAGTTCACGGACCCCGCCGCATTCGAATCCGTGCTGCGCCCTGCCACGCCCTGCAGTCGAGGCACTGCACAGGCCCTGCATCCCATCGAGAGGGCTCACCCCCGCGCCTTGCCCCGCCGCGCCACGCCACGCGGCACCCGAGGGCCGTGGGGGCCGTGGGGGCCGTGGGGGCCGTGGGGGCCGTGGGGGCCGTGGGGGCCCGACCGGCCGGCCACATTTCACGGCGGAATCAGCCACTTTGTATGTGTGCGCACATCGGACACCCCTCTGAGGAAGGGCAGGTATGGGGGCCTCTCCCCCCTCCCCCCTGACACGCTCGCCCCATTCGGTGAACCCCAACACGAGGCGACCCCATCGAACCCCGTATCAGCACCCCACAAGGATCACCCCGCGACGCGCCCAAGAAAGAGGGCCCACTAACCTGCCCCAACACGCCGCCACACCGCCGCACCCCTCCGCCAGGCACGCAAAGCGCGTGTTTTCGATCCTCACACACAGCCCGACCCGCCCCGACCTGGTCCCCGTGGTCTAAAATCGCACAGAGCTACTCCAGACAAAAAAAAAACACTTGGCCGGGGACCCCCTCAGATCTGGCTCTCTCCCGGTGTTTTTGGTTCCTCTAGTGAATACGAATTGCCGAGTTCGGGGGCGCGAAAAGTACATTTTTTTCGGCACAGGAAGTAAATCCAGAGAATTCACTCACGAGGCCGGCACTCTAACCAATGCGCCAAGACGGCCATGCCGAATTTGTGGCAACTCTCTGCAACTTCTTGAAAACTCAAACTGCAGGTTGAGTCTCACCACTCCTGTCCTGGAAACATGTGTGTCTTCCTACCCCGGGAACGCGTTGCGTTCCTTTCAGGGCCGAGTCTAACCGTACAATGTCAGATTTAGTCCTTCGGTCCATTCGCCGGCGGTTGAAACTCAGACTGGTTGGACCAAGAAGAAAGGTTGTGCGGACGATGTTCGCCCGATGGCCGGCCGGGTCTATCGCGGCACTGATCCATGGCGGTCCGCGGTCCGCGGTGGGAGAGGGGAGGGGGCGCCCTGGCAGCGCTGGCAGCACTGGCAGCCCACCGCGGCTGCAGCCTGCTGCAAGCTAGTCACGTACTTCAACTTAACCTCCGCGCAAAGAAAAATGTGGGCCGGGGGGAGCGCTGGCCGAGGCCCTGGCCGCCACGGGGACCACGGGGCAGCGCCGCAGCCGCTGCCTCTGCGCTTCCAGCGGGCAGGACGCGGCCGCACGCTCCAGGGAGGGAAGGGAGAGTGAGAGGCGAGGGAAACGGATGCTTCGGGCCGGCGCCGGGTGCGAGGGAGACCAGAGATTGGGCAACGTCTCCGCACGAAAGCCTCAGCGATCCCGGAGAGTCGAGTTACCCCGTGCCCCACCGCACCCCACCCCGCCCCACCCCAACCCGCCCCAACCCGTCCCACCCCACCCCGCCCCAACCCTCCGCGCCCCGCCCCGTCCCGCGGCCACGCAATGCGCCGCGCTGTGGCCAACGGATGTGGCCGGAATAACACAGCGCTAAACGGGCCGGACCTGCCCCGCTAGTCCCCGCTCCACTGTGAGGCTGCGCTTTGCCTTGCCTGGCCCTCGGCCCGGCCTGGTGCCGCCCGCGCGCCCTGGATCCTAAATAAGGACGTAGGCCGCTGTCCCGATGCCGGCCCGCGCCCCGCCCCGCGCCCCGCCCCGCGCCCCGCCCCGCGGCCACGCCCCTGCCCCGCCTTATCCTGGTCGCGCTCGCAGCCGCTTGGATGGGTGTGAACTAGAGCCGCGGCGGCCGAGGCGAGCAACTCTCCCAGAGCTAATACTCTCGCAATGTACTCCCCACGGCGCGCGGCAGCCCTCCAAGTGCCCGCTGCCTGGGCCGCCATTTCCCTTGAGCAGCTCGACAACCTTGATCCGTTGGCAGAGGCCCTGCCGCCCTGCCGCCCCGCCGAGAACACCCACGCACTCTTCGTGGAACTAGCAACGCGCGCAGCCGAAAGACAGGCTTCCCTTCGCCAGCGGCGTGTCGGCACTGCGTCGGCACTGCTTCGGCGGGCGCTGCATTTCGGCGGTGCGTTGCTGCGCGTTGCTGCGCGTTGCTGCGCGTTGCTGCGCGTTGCGGCGCGTTGCGGTGCACGCCCACGCCGGCATGCGGCAATTTTCCGCGCAATTTACGCGCCTTCTCCGGCCTGCGCCGCGACGCCTCGACGCCTCCACGTCGCCGGGCCGCGAGGGCCCGCCTGCACTGTAATTGTGGTTATCCGCAGCGCCGCGCCGCGCGGAATCCCACGTATGGAAATGCCCCGCCCCACCCCGCCTCCCTCAAGGTCCCCGAGGAAGTCCCCTCCCCGGGGATCTCATTACACTGAGGCCCAGTGCGCCGCGCGCCGCGCTGCGTGTTCAGGGTGGTTTATAAATCACCGCAGCCCGCTCTGTTCAGGCCTTCGGCTTGCCTTGCCTTGCCCTGCCTTCCAGTGTCACCGAGATTTGAGCTTTTCAGGCGGCGGGCCACCCTGCTCTGCGCGTATGCGTGCGTGTGAGTCTGTGTGTTGTTTGGGAGTGTGAGTGTGTGCGTGAGAGTGGGATAGGGAAACAGGAAAGGAATGCTGGCTGGGCCGGGGAAGCTCGCAGACTACTACAACTGCAAGTGAGAAAGACTCTCGGCTACATAAATCTCAAAAACCTCACAATCGAGAAATAAAGCCCGAGAGAGCGTCGCGCTGCGTGGCACGCCTCGCCACGCCTCGCCACGGCACGCCACCCCCGCCGCGCACCCTCCCCTGCCCCGGCCCGCCCCGGGCGTTGTCGCCTGGTAGTAACCCCTTTTCTGATGTCTCTGTCCCCGCGGCGTCCCCGCGGCGTCCCCGATGCTAGCGTTCGGTGTGTTTCTTTCCGTCGCCCGTTATTCGTGCACCTGTGCGCTCTGGGGAGGGGGAGGGTGGCTGCCACTCATCGGCACACCAAAGCGTCAGAGGTGAGGAATTCCTTTCACTGCGAGGCTCCACCCGCCCCACCCCGCCCCGCCCAGCCCCGCCGCACCTCGCCGCGCACTGCGAGCGCAGTTCTACGAGTAGCCGTCCCTTTTCCCTTTTCCCACCACGTCTCTCTGTTTGTCATGCAAATTCGAAAATAAAGGGCCGGAGGGGAGAGGGAGGGGCGGTGCGCCCCTTGGTGGCGGCCTAGGGCTTCGCGCGGACCGCCCCGCCCCGAAGGGCCTTACTCCAGAGGATGCTGGGTCGTGTCTGGCTGGGCTGGCTTGGGCGGGCCGATGGTTGGGGCGGCTCAAAGGAAGGGCCTGGTGCTATGTCACGCTCAATGGATGAGGGATGTACCCCCTCCCCTCCCCCGGCCCGCTCTCCAGAACTGCAGGTGCGGAGTGTCTCGAGATGGACAAGGTACATCGCGACTTGGAGGTGTTGCTCTCAGCGTCACGGACTGCCAGGGTGAGGGGCAGTCGTCGCTGTGCTGCCCTTCTGCTGCTCTTCTGGTGTTACTCTGCTGCTGCTGCCCCGCGAACCTAATCGCGATACGCGCTGCATGGCCAGTGGCAGGCCAGCGGCGCGGGTCGCGGCTGTCCAATCGTTCCAAGATAACAGCGGGCCTGATTGTGGGCGCGCTGATGGAAGGAACTCTTTTCATAACCCCGGCCCACTGCCGGGCCAGCCCCGGACCAATCCCGGACATTCGGCAGTTTGTCAGCGGCTCAGTGGGGAGGGGTGGAATGGCCACGCCGACGGCTTGATTGTGTGAACACCAGAAAACGCGCGTGTCGGCTGCAAAGAACAATCAGCGCATTGCGGCGTCGCGCCTCTGCTTTTATTGCGTGCCGCTCGCTCGTGTCTGGGACACATCCCGCACAGCCACGGATTGAAAACTTTCGGACGGCGCCGACGGTGTGTGTGTGTGTGTTGGTGCGCCCGTGGGCGCACACCCACGCAGACGTCTGTGTGTGGTTACCGCAATTGTGTGAGGATAAGAAGAAGCGTAGTTTGCTTGTTTCGTGCGGCCGCCTGGGCTGAGCGCCTCCTTCGGGGTCTCATCAAGGGTAGGAAGGCGAGCCGGGGGAGGGGGAAGGGACAGGAAATCTCGGGGGCACATGTCCCCGTACGTGTGTGTACTTTCCCCTTCATGCGACCTGCATTGTCGGTGGGCTGGCTCCAGGCTGACTCCAGTGCCGGCCGCTACACCGCCTTTCCTTCCGCTCCGCCGTGAGAGTGCTGGAGCCCCTGGAATTATGGCACGAGTAAGAAGAGGCGTTTGCGAGCTTCCGTCGCATCTACCCCTTGCATGTACTTGCTGAGGTCCGGTTTGTTCAGTGACACGCTGTGGGAATACTTCGAGATATTGTTTATTTTTGTCAATTTTTTTTTACAGGGAGATCATTATATTTATTTTACAAAAGAAATTATTGTAACACGCTTCTTTTCATTTCCATGTCAACGCGTTTACTTAAGCGTGCCCGATGGCACGTTTAGTATTTTAACATGACTACGTCTCCATTTTGATTCTCGACAGCCGCGTGGGGAAAAGTCTCCTGCAAAAGGCATCTGGACAGACACGGCATGCCCACGACCCAACGGGTGCGCAGGATGAAACAATTAGGTGAGTCAAATTTCAGTGTACAAAACGGGGACAACGAAACCATATACATCAGACAATTAACAACGACCACGCCCGAGGCACACGCCGTTCACAATACGCTGTACAATATATTACATCTGTACACAATCTTCAATAAACATAAAATATCATCTTACGTAAAATTAGTATTTACATTGATTTATAGCAGGAAACCTGAGTAAAAGGTCCGAAGGGAGGATCGACTCTGCTCTTCACTCTTAATTTATATTTAACAAAAACAAATTTTGGTTGCTGGTTTTCAACCGGTTTTTCTTTACGACGTGAATGGAAAAGCAGAGTTGAGTCCAAACTGTTGCACCCTCTCAAGAAGGCTACCAGAGCATTTCAATTAAAAACACGTGTTGTTGCCGTTTCAAAACGCGTGATCGGAGAAATATGTTAGAATTCATATCGAAAATAGACGTTTCCCCGACCTTGCCCGCACTATCACATTCTAGGACTTAGCGCATCATAAAGAAAACTAAAGCACCAAGTCTTCCAATTTCTTCGAACTGCCTTCACGCGCACTTTGCACACCATTGCTCTAAGTGATAAAAAAAAATAAAAAAAAAAAAACAATTGAAACTAGATCTGATCTACGGAATTCCTATGGTTTCACGAGGAGACAAACAAGAACTTGTGATCAAGAAGCCGCTGAGCAGCCCGGACCAGTGTGGACAGCATTAGGCCGAAAAGTCCAGAAGAGGAATTGGTGATGATCGTGCGGAAAGCTTTGCTTAATTTTGAGCATGTCGTAACCATAAGAATAACAATAAATTGATTGAGAACAAAACCTCATAACAATGCGTCAAACAGAACTGAAAACGCGTTTCCCGCCTCGGCAACTCGCACGGCAAGACAGGTGGCGGGTGGACCAAGCAGTCCAGGCAACCCGTGTGAGGTTGATGGTGCCTGTCTCGCCCGAAGGGAGCCGAATGCAGGCAGGGATGATACACGGTGGCCTTCGTGAGCCGGGCGCTCGACCGCTCCCCAGACCGCTCTCTGTTCGGTTGGTGTCACTGGACGGGGACAGAGAGGCGCTGGGTGCGCATGTCGATGCCCCGGCAGGCCGGCGGCCGGAAGGACGATGACGTCATGCCGCGGATCGGCAGCCGAAATCCGCTGCAGTCTCCGGAGTTCCCGGCCTGGAGGCGCCTGGAGGCCCTGGCCTGGAGGCCCTGGCCTGGAGGGCGGACCGGAGATTGGCCGCCCTGGACGCACTGTCGGTGTCTTCAGCCCTTCGGCTGGCCACGCCCACTCACCCACACACTCACATTCACGCACACACACGCAGCCACACTTCCTCTCGTCACTTGGCGTTCATTGGTTCGCACTGAGAGTCTTCCAGTGTCCCTCGCGTCGTCCTGGACGCGGGGAGGGGCCCGCGGCGCCGTCGTCGGGGACCTCCCGCCCGCCAGGAGCCCCACCCAGGGCTGCCCAGGGCGGGGGATTTATCATCTGGAGTTGACGACGACCGCCAGCAGCAGCAGCGCCAACCCGCTCCGCGACCTCCACGACGACCTCGCCGCGCCGTTGGACGGCCTCTGCATGGCGGCGGGGTGCTCACCTGGCGGACAGAAAACATGGCAGCAATTAGCAACGACGAACAATGCGCGATACCTGCTGTCGCTGTCTCTCTCCCGCACCCCCACGGCAAGCCCCTTGCGAGGGAGAGGAGAGCGGAGTCGCTCGCCTGCTAGCGCCCGCAGACCGGCGCGTAGGCAACCCCTCCGGCACCAAGGCGCCTGCCGACTGCTGCCGCGCATCGCCGTCTCTCTCGCACTCAGGGGGCGTCCCGTACGGGTGCGAGAGAGACAGCGACGACAGCGCCGTGCGAATCAGTCCACAGCACTGCGAATCGGTTCAATGCCGAGGCCGACGACCAGTGCCAAGAGACGAGGAGCTCGGGGCCTCGGCCAAAGTAGCCGATCCATGGAAAAGAAATTAGTTGGGTAACTATGCGCGTCATCCGTCTTGGCCCGCGCCCCGCCCCGCCCTCCTTTCCGGCTATTTTCTGAATGCGACATGACAACGGACCCTGAGAGCAGTGTCCCGGCCCCGGTCCGCGTGCCAAGTAACGAAGAAGAAAAATAAGAAGACAAAGTGAGCGAGTGCGGGCCGTGGCCGAGCTGGCCGCGCGGGCCTCTGCCTCCGTGTGGCTGCCTGGCTGCCCTGCCTGGCTGCCCTGCCTGGCTGCCCTGCCTGTCTGCCCTGCCTGGCTGCCCTGCCTGGCTGCCCTGCCTCGGCCGAGGCCACAGCAGCGCCCAGCGCCGCGACAGCCGTCCCCCAGCGCTGACAGCAGGGAGGGGGTGCGAAATGGAAGAGAAATGGAAAAACTATGGAATGAGTTGGAGCGAACACGAGGAAAGCTGTCCGGCGCTGAAACCTGACCCGCCACACTACGCCACGCCGCGCCGGACCGCCGCGCTAAGCAGGGCGCCTAGACGCTCCCTGGACCCGCCCCAACCCCCGCAAGGGGCCCGCACGCGTTAGGTGCAGTGACAAGGCCGCCGCCTCTGCGCTGCATCATACAGCGGTTTACTTTCACTCTGACTGGCCTCCCCGGGGACTACGGCGTGGAGGCTCTTTGACCCGCACACCCACGCCATCGGACGGAACGCGGCACTGTACCCGGCGAGCCAAAAGGGAGAGAGAGAGAGGGGGGGGGGTCCTTTGTGACCCGACCTTCGCCAAGGTGGCGCGTCGGCCGCAAGGAATCCGCTCGCAACCGAAAGAACTCCGGCGAGCGTCTTGAGACTAATTAATCTCGAGTACCAGCGCGGCCCGGCCGGCAAAAAGGGATACAACAACAAAGAGTTGGCGATGATGCCCGCCGAGGTTGCTTCGGCTAGCTGGGGAGGGAACGGCACGGCACGGCACGGCACGGCCAGGCAGGCCGACGACGTGGGAAAACGCTCCGGCTTCCAAAATAAAACGCGTTCTTTGGGTGGAGCGTCCCGCCCTCGCAGCCCAGGGGCTCGGCCTTGACTCCTACAGTGCCGCTGGCGGCGTGTCGCCGGGGGAGGCATACCGTGGCGTGCCGCGCCGCACCCGGGCCGGGGCCCTTCGCTGCCGGAACCATTTCCCGCTCTTTTCACTCCCTGACCACTGGAAAGAAGGATGGGCGCCGCGGGCAGCCCCGCGGGCGGGAGGACACTATACCGGAGGCGTCGAGGGGGGGGGGAGTAGGAGTAGGAGGAGGAGGTTCCAAGGTTCTAATGAGAGGCCATTCCCACCTGAGACGCCCGCCACTCTGCAGCCATCAACGCGATGGCGCGGTCGTTCGCGGATCTCATACGTGGCGGGGCGGGGTGGGGCGGAGCGGGGTGCCACCAGAATCGCCCTGTCTAAGTTATTGCGTGTCGACTTTGGCACGTTGGTCGGCTAACTCGAAAAGGGTTGGAAAAAGTTGAACATTTTTGTTTGATTTTTTCCCCCTTGATTTTTGACAGACACACACGGTGTTCTCCGGAGAGGCAAGGCTGTGTGGCCGTGTTCGCCACGCGCACGACAACGCTGCCCGGCGGCCCGAATCCGGCCGCATTGACAGCGAAAAAAATAGAAAGGAAAGGAAAGACCTCGTTGCGCCCCGGGCCGCTCCTTGACCCATCCGTTTCTCTTCGGGCGAGGTGAGTAATAAATGATTTCTTTTTTCTGGTGTCGTGGTCGTCGTCGGCGACACAGACGCCGCAACACACGATCCCTCTCCGTCCGCACAGTGCACACGCCCCTGAGCAGGGACCCGCACTGCATCACATTGCGCCACCACGCCTCGACGCGCCCCGCCCCGCCCCGTCCCGCCCCGCCACGCATAGCCACAGACCACGCCTAATGTCTTTTCCATTATCACGGAAGACTGCGTCTTGGACTCTGAAGGGACGGGCAAATGGAAAGAAAAGGAGGTGGAAACGGATTTGGGCGCTGCGCGGCGAGACGCGGCGGGACGCTCCGCGAAGGCAAGGCGAGGCCGAACGGGGTAAAAGGGGGAAGGGGTAGCGTAGAGGAGGCCGGCAGCCACGTCCCCGGGATGGCACACTGGCGGCAGTGCCACAGTGCCACAGCACTGGCAGCTAGCGCGCGCTGGCGTGGCGCTGGCGTGGCCGCCACGCCGCCGTTTTACAAAAGGGGCCCTCTTTTTGGGCCCTTGCTCGCGAGCTCGGCTGGTACTGCAGCCTGATTCCGAGAGTCGCTCTGTCTCTCTCACACCTATACGGGACGTCCCATGAGTGCGAGAGAGACAGAGCGACGAGAACGACTCTCGGAATCAGTCGACTGCTACTCCAAAACATCTTAACTTGGCGTTAGCTCACGCGAGCAGTGAGATGGTATCGGCAATTGGGGTGACTTCGGCAAAGGGGGTGACTTTGACACTGTCCTGAAAGTACCCTTTCGGAGCAACAATTTGGATCGATTGCTGGAGACCATGGAAATGGTAAATGAAGGCTTTGTTTTAGTGCGTGTTAAATAACCGACGGATGCCGACGTCACCCCAACTGCCCGCACAGTAAAAACTCTACGAAGAATCGCTTCTTAATGCGAAGAAAATGAAGGCATTGTAAATCCTACGAAGAAATGCTTCACATTATGAAGCAAAATCCTTCGTAATACGAAGCATTTCTTCATAATATGAAGCAATTCTACAATGCCTTCATTTTCTTCGTAGTTATGAAGCAAATGCTTCGTAGGATTTTAAGAGTGCGGTACCGTTCTATTTGTTTCCATTTACTGCCCCTTTTTGTAGTGCAGCTCTGCCGCGGTACCCACCATTGAGCACGTGCACGCCGACGGACGCGGGGTTGGCGTTGGACGGCACGCACGTGTAGTTGCCCGAGTCGGACAGCTCGGCCCGGGTGACGAGCAGCTTGGAGGTGGTGCCCTTCTCGGTGCGCTCCGTCTCCAGCGAGATGCCGCCGCGCGGCGAGTCGAAGTCCACGACGGAGGGCCCGTGGTACCACAGCACCGAGCCGGGCGGCGTCGAGTGCACGTTCACCGTGCACGTCAGGCTGATGGTGGAGCCCTTCTTGACGAAGACCTCCTCGGGCCCGGAGATGTTGGCCTGCGCGGCTGCAAAACAGAAAGGGCGGTTAGTGAGCGTCGCTGCCGTGGCTGGGTGGGTGTCCGTGGCGCGGCGGGGGCGGCAGGGGCGCGTAGGCAACGCGGATACAGGCGCGTCGCCGGGTTGCCTACGCGCCGGCTGGCAGGCGCTCCCCGTGGCCACGCGTGGCGCAGGCCTCTGGGGCAGGCCGGGCAGGGTGCACAGGGTGAAGCGAGCCTACGGCGTTACGGGACCAATGAAAGTGCATTCCCCGTCGGCCTCACTGAGCGGGCCGGCCATGCAGAGAGCCTCTGGCTACGGAGAGAGAAGGCGAGCGAGGAAAAATAAAAAAAAGGAGAGAGGAAAGATATAAATCATGACATGCTTCACAGTTCCCATTCCAGACATAAAGCGGACCAAAACGGAAGAACGATTCAACATTATTTTGAGGAACGCAAATCTACCGAGGATGGACGCTCGCGCCGAGGGCATCAGCGAAGGGAATAGCAGAGAAGAAGCTTCTACTTGTGCAGACTGATTTCGAGAGTCGTTTTCGTCGCCTGTCTCTCTCGCACCTGTGCGGGAGCCGCATGAGTGCGAGAGAGACAGAGTGTTGTAATCAACTCCCGCAATCCGTCAGCTGGAGGCCTTTCCCGAAATCCAAGTACTTTGTAAAGCAGAAAGGGTGACAAACGCATACGCCAAAGCCATGGGGAGAGAGAGAGAGGGCGCTAAGGGGCGCCGAAGACGGGCCAGAGCAATTAGGCAAGGACAAGGCAGGTCCGGACGGCCCGGCGGAGCGCCGGAGCGGCCAGTGCGAACTGGTCCAGCCCAGCCTCAAATATATTGTTTCGTTTCCATTGCGCGATTCGTCTTCGTCAAGAAGGAGCGGCGCGTCTAGGCGCCCCGTCGCGCCGTCCGGAACCAGACCAGTGCGGTGATTCTTTCAAATATCACAGAGACCGGCGAGCGGAGGCACGGAGCTGGACTCGGTGCCCCACAGTGACTCCATCGCCACCACCAACATCGGACTGGTGCACTCTAAAAGTCTTAAAGTGAAGATTCTCCAAATTATGGTGAACTATCTCCATGGTGGTGGCTGACTTTTTAACTTACCTCTTAAAATTCATTGTACCGAACAGATATTTTGTCGAGTTTCTTTTGAACTGTGGAGAACATATCCACCATAATTTGGTGCAGCCTTTCACCGTAAGACATTAAGAGTGTGTCTGCCTTCTGAAAGAACCATCGACGTGGTCGTGACGGCGAGAAGCTGAGAGACCCTAACCTTTATTTTTGGAGGCCCCGGTAGATGTCCTGCTTGGACTGTCCGTGTCTGAAATACAAGCAAACATGGAATTTAGTCGGGCGAATCCTCGGAAACAGGAAAAAAAGGAGAAAACACACAGGCTGACATGGCCCCAATGACGCTGGGCAGGAAGCAACAACAGGAAGAGCCGCTTTTCGGTTTGACAGACGAGACCGCGCAGAATTGCACAGAAAGCAGAGGTCCGGGAGAAAATACGCAGAAATATAATTGCCTGGCTTCAAATCAAATTTGCGTCTCGACATGAATTATTTTGAGAGGGACAAAATATTCTGCTGGAAGGGGAAATGTGAAAAGCATAGTGGCCGTACTCCAGCGCGCGCGCACACACACACAAGCATTAAACAATACATCGGAATCAGATGCAAAGAGCCGGACACAAAACAATAAATGGGGTCTCGTCCGGAAGGGGGCAGTGGGGGCAGTGGGGGCGGTGGGGGCAATGGGGGCGTTGCCGCACAAAAGGGCTAACGTCAAAAGGCAACTTTGCGCTTTCTAATCACACATCCCCCTTTTTTTCCTCTGCCCATTTTGTGGGCAGTGCGTCCGTTGTCGCCAACTACGTTACGTCGCTGCTATCGGACGCCAGGGGGAGGGGGGGGAGAGGGGTTGACCTGCTCAGGTTTTGCTGTCGTCTCGGTGCTTGATTGCTCTTCGGGGATCTACCGGACTAGGGCAGGCGGAGGGGAGGGGGCTAAAAGGGTTCGTGAGGGAAGGGAGGGGGGCAAAACACTCGTCCGTGGCACCACTCAAGTGCCTGTCGTATAAGGCCACCACCCTTCCCAGTTACACCATTCTCGGCACCGAACCGCCCCGCCGGCCCTGCCCCGCCCTGCCCGGCCCTGCCAGGGACTCGATGGGGCTTTGAGGAGGGACAAGGCACGCCGAGGCGGGGCAGGCGGGGCAGGCGGGGCACACCCTCCAAGGTTCGCCAACTCCGTTGCCAACATGCAAAGCGAGGGGCACGGCGCGAGGTGAGGTGAGTCCGAGGGAGCGGGCGGCACGGCACGGCGTTCCAGGTTCCAGCCTTCCAGGTCCCAGGCAGCTTGGCCCGGCGGCCCGGCCGATTACATATCAAACTTTCCCCCTGATTGATGGCCGAGGGGCGAGGCGAGGCTCCGCGCGGCCAGAGTCGCTTTCATCGCTCTGTCTCTCTCGCACCTGAACGGAAAGCTAAATGAGTGCGAGAGAGAAAGAACGATGAAAACGACTCCCGGAATCACTCTGCAGAGCAGTCAGGAGGCAGGTGGCGCCGGAAATCGCAGGACCAAGTTACATCAATTGATCCAATTTTATTGGAGTTTGTTTTTTTGCGAGTACCGGGGTGTGGGCGTCCACTTAGTGAGCCCCCAAATTAGAAGGACTGGACCTGATTATCACCCTCGCCGTGACAGGGGCGGGCCAGCTAGCGGCGCTCTCTGTCTCTCTCGCACCCACACGGCACGCTCTAAGAGCGCGAGAGAGACAGCGCAAAGCCCCGGAATCAGCCTTCAGGGCACTTCATTCCGCGAGGACGTGTCCATGAAAGCCTCCCATACATACTGCCCCCCCCCCCCCCTCTCTCTCTCTTCCTTTTCGTCAGCGGCGCTTTGGGGTGTCGTGCCCAATCCCGGCGGTCATACAGTATTCTCCTTCCAGCGACACGACGACACACAAAATTATTCCTTTTTCCCCCGTCTGGTCTTTTAGAGGCCTCTAATGAAGCCGCACTCGACCTTACGAGAGAGAGAGAGAGATAGAGAGAGGGAGGGGCTTCGCGGCAAAAAGAGGGAAGGCGCATTGTTTTCATTCGCGTGTAGTGGAGTTCTTAAACAATCCGCGCCTGGCTGCCCAGACGAAGGCCCTGACGAAGGCCGACGGCGGCTAAGGCCGCGCCGCGCCGGCAAAGGGAGAGGAAGAATGGGAGAAAGTGGAGGCGGTCGAATAGATGAGGGTGAAAAAAGGGAAAAAAGAACAACAACAAATAAAACGCAGCAGAGGGAAAAAAATTAAAAATGTAAAAAGAAAAGAATACCGACTCCTCTTTGCGAGGTGCCCGCCCTCATCTGAATGGAACGCCCGTTCACACTCTTTGGTGCGCAAAAAAGCGGGCATCCCTTGATATGCCTCGAACCGCGAACGGGGCCGCGAGAAGGAAAACACAAAAACAGAGAGAGAGAGAGAGAGAGAGAGAGAGAGAGAGAGAGAGAGAGAGAGAGAGAGAGAGAGAGAGAGAGAGAGAGAGAGAGAGAGAGAGAGAGAGAGAGAGAGAGAGAGAGAGAGAGCACACGACGGTGCCCCAACATAATCATCTGCCGAAGGAGGAAATTCCGCGCCAACAACGCTTCTCTGTGGGGAGTCCTTCCTTCCCCCTTTCTTGTGTCGTTTTGCATCCTGCTGCGCCGAGACGGCTGCTGTGACCTTGCGAGCACTAAAGCAGATGACTGTGACTTTCGGGGCACTGCTGCTGCACTGTACCGCCGCCACTGAGTCATCCCGGGCCGCCGCGGGGAGGCTCTCGCCATCCGCTTTTCTTCGGGCATCTTCGGGCTCCTTCGGGCCGCTTTGGGCTTGCCACTAGCCACCGCCTCGTCCCTATCACCTGATGGACCACTTCCATTTTCCATTCGACCCCCTCCCCTTCCCCTCCCCGTGCCTCTGGTGCTCTGCACACACCGATTGTTTGCTCGCCGTCAGGGCTGCCAAGACTGCGAGGACCTCGAGGGCGAGGGGGCATGCCCGGCCCTGCTTCGCAAGACGCGCGGCCGCGACTTGTAGTGTAGCGCCGCGGACCAACGACTCGCCGCTCGTCCGCCCACACGCCCCCCGACACACTCACACACTCTCACACACACCTACACCTACACAGAGAGAGAGAGAGAGAGAGAGAGAGAGAGAGAGAGAGAGAGAGAGAGAGAGAGAGAGAGAGAGAGAGAGTAGGAAGTCAAATCGTGCCCAAATCCAGGAGCAGCAAGAAAATCGCTGCCTGGCTCGTCCTTGGCGTCCCAAAAAATTAGTTTGCAAATGAATGCGTTGCCGGGGGGCGTGTTAGGGGGTTCTCCTCATTCTGCCCGCAAAAATACGGAATACTACGCGGCCAGGGGGGTGTGGCCGTACGCACACGCGCCCCAAAGGGTAAAGACTTTCCCTCCGAAAGGGAAAATAAATATTTTGATTTGCAAATCAAGCGCTGAATAGGCAGGCCCAACGGCAATGACTAGCACAGCAGGAGTTGCCGGCGTGCCGTCCTGGTCAAACATTGGCCTTGTGTGTGTGTATGTGTGTGTGTATGTGTGCACGCGCGAGCCAGTAAACCCTATCAGCTTGCGCACCTACGAGGCTGTATCGGCGGAGGACCACAAGCAAGCGAGGGGTAAAAAAATGCGGCCTTGAGCGCCCACTCATCGAGGGGGCAGAAGGGGAAGAAGGGGGGGGGGCGAGTGCGATCTGCCAGCACACAAACAACACCGAGATGGACGACTGGGTCAGAATCGGTGTGGAGGGGGAGGGGGGGGGGCGGAATCAAAATGGTGGAGCGGCAACGGCCTCTCCGAATCCAATCAGCCGCGCGCCTGTGTGTATTGCATGTATGCACTCTACACCGCAAACGGAATGTATCGGTGGGTCACCCACTTACACGCACGCTCTCTCTCTCTCTCTCTCTCTCTCTCTCTCTCACACACACACACACACACACACACACACACAAAAGGGGGCGCGTCCTGGACACGCTTTGACACTGCGATCACTGGGGCACTCTTTGATCTCCGCAGCCGCACACCAGAGCGGCAGGACCGGGAGGGGGAGAGGGGGCGCTTGCAGTGTAGGGGCGGAGGTATGCACGGCGTAATGCGGAAGGCCGGGCGGCTAGTGCGGAAAAAAGGGGGCGGGACTTTCAAAGGGAATGTTCAAACATAAGGGCACCCCTGTGCCATTTATTTCCTGTAGCACTGTAACGAATAAAATGCATCTTTGGTGGGGCCGGACGGATGGACGTAAAAGAGAGACAAAAAAAGAGCTGCAGGCATCGGATTGCGGCGCCACACGCTTTTGCGTTTAGCTGCGAGCGAAAGCGCAATCGGCCACAGACAGGCGAAATCGTTTTAGCTTCGAATTAAGTTTGCGCTGCTGTCGGTGACCTGCACGGCCTGCACGGCGCCCCGGGCGCGCGTGGAGGCAAACCAGGTCACGCTGGAGGTGGCCGGGGGTCCGCCACCGGGGCGGCAGTGGTGGCCATTTATCGAATGATTAGCGTTCGTTCATTCATTGCCCTGTTTGAGCGTTGGGAGTGGGAGGGGAAGGGAGACTGGGAGAACTGGTCATTGCTTTTAGGCAGGGAGGAACACAAGGACACTCACCTTCCACCGACAGCATGATGGCGTGGTTGATCTTGGGCTCCGTGTTGACCTGGCACTCGTAGATGCCACCGTCCCTCAGCTGCACGAACTCGATCTTGAGGTCCCAGTCGTCCGAGCCCTCCGGGTGCACCACGGCGAACCGGCCGTCGCCCGTGTACGTGAAGATGGTGTTGGTGAGGATGTGCAGGTCACGCTTCCGGATCCACGACACCTGCGGCAGCAAAGAGAAAACGGCGCCGTTAGAAACGCTCAAAGTCAAATTCAAACACAGAACGAAAAACAAGTCAAACACAAAACGAACACAAAAATGTTGTTTCCGAGTCATCCGGGGAATGGATAGAATGCCACGCGTTGCGGCAAGTCGTACATTCCCGCCGCCCCCGCCGCCCCCACTGACCTCCGCCATCCTCCCGCTTGGCCGGACCCACCTGGCGGCAGGCCAGGACCGCCAGGACCGCCAGCTCGCTTTGCGTACCTCAACCTCCGACGCCCCACCCTTCGAGCTGCGAGCACGACCCACTAATCCGAACCTCGCCCCGCCCCGCCTCGCCCCGCCCCACCCCGCCCCCGATATGGCAGCAATCTGTCTCGCGGGGCGGGCTGGCGGGCTGGCGCATGGTAGCTGCTGCTGCTGCCAACTTGAAACTTCCCAGGACCCGCGGCGCGAGGAACGCGGAGCCCGCGTGCCAACTGCGGCGCGTCGCCGTCGCGTCGCTGTGCGCGCGCGAGTCTTCGCGCGGGAGTCTTCGGTTGGGAGTCTTCGCGCTGGAGTATCCATGCTGGAGTCTTCAGGCGCTGGAGTATCCGCGCAGGGGTCTTCGCGCGACGGCGTGGTCGTCGTCCGCGAAGGCACCGTTGCCGCTGGGCGGTCGCCGGCCCGGCGCGGTCCACGGACATTCCTGGCTCGGAATAAATGGCTGGAAGCGCTGCCTGCCCAGCCCGGCCGCGCCAAAGGAGGAATGACCTGCAGGGGCAGCGGAATGCTCGCAGCCCTACAGCTGCACGCGCCACGCCGCCACACTGCGAGACTCCCAGACTGCGAGATGGCGTGGGGCTCCAAGTCGCAGACGGCTCGCCTCGGCCCGGCCGGCGAATTCCGCGCAGAAAGGCTGCGCGGAGAAACACAGCGCGCCGCTACGCGGATTTGGAAGGCGCCATGAGAGATCGCGTCACCGTATGAAAAAATCGGCAGATTGTCCCATGGAGGATTGAGACCGCGCCGCGTCGCCTGGGTTTGTGTGCAGAGCGACTAGAGGCCGCATCGGAATGGAGCACTGCTTCGCCACCGCACCGATCTGCACTGGAACTCGGCCGTGAACACGCTCCTGCTGCAAAGGCACCTTTTTTCTGTTCCAGTAGGGTCGTGAAAGGTTTCTTTCCCGGACGTGGACACGCCCGGTGCAAGCGAATCAACGATTCCGGGAAGAATTGCTTTCCAATCAAACAATCCCCGAAGTATCGGGCTGCAGGAGGGCTGCAACTACTCAGACGCCGGGAGGGTAGGCCACCCATTCGACATCCCACCCCCGACACACCCGGAAAAACAGCGAGCAACAAAACAAGTTCCTCTTTCTCTCTCTCTTTTTTTGAAATTGGGTTTCGGGGCTGTGATAACGTGCCTCGAGGGCAAACTCCCTCCACACCGCGATATCCGCATTCCAGGCCAAGGGGCGGGGCGGGGCCCCCGAGGCCGAGCCCTTGGAGACCCAGTCAAGGTGAACGCGGCACCTGTGCAGTCGGCGTGTATTTACGCCCCATTGCCGCCCGGAGGGAGAGAGAGGGCGGTCGCTCCGGGCGCCGAAAGTTTGCTTTAAATAAGAGAAGAAAAACACGTTTAGAACATTGATCTGGCCAATTACGCGTCTGCAGAGCAACGAACTTTAACTTCGCCGGCGATACGGGAATAATAATCATCTTGGTGAAAGTAAGCCAGCTGAAACAGCCGGTGCCAAGTTCTGCTTGCTTAAGAAAGGCCGCGGGCCGAGGCCAGGCAGGGCCTTGCGGCCCTGGGCTGCCAGCGGGCTGCCAGGTGAGACCGCTCCGCTCGCCTTCAAGGCGAAGACCGTCTCGGTCAACGTCAAAAAACAAACAAAATGACAATCGGGGAGGAGATTGCGGTTCCAGAGACTCGAAAAGTGTGCGACCGGATGTCGAGAGGCCGCGAAGCGGGTCAAGCGCGGAGCATTGCGCGGTAGGCAACCGGCGGGCGCTGCGGGCGTGCCTGGCTGGCGGGCTAGCGGGCTGCCGCCGTTGGCAGCTCGCTACGCTAGCCTCGCTGGCGGGCGGCACTCCGAGGGGCCCAGCCCGAGGAGGGGACACTCTGCGGGGCCACCGCGTCTCCTCTCCCCGTCCCGTGGTCCCGTCCGGAGCGAAAAGCTCTTGGCCGTGGGTTGGCGGCCTTCCAGAGGTGCAGGGGACACACCACCACGCGGACGGACTTCTTTTAAAAATCATTTATTCTTCGGGCCGGGGGAATATCAGAGGGAGGGAGGGAGAGAGTGTGAGCCAAATGGACGGGCGTGGCTTCCGCGCGCCCGGGCCGCCGGACCGCACTGCCGGACCGAGAGCAAAGAAAACAGAAGTCGCGTTCGGGGCGGTCACTGCAAACAGTGCGCTCGGGAACACAAGTCCAGGTAAAAGGGAAATGACCACGACGCGATGGCGATCTGACGAAAGTAGGACGTCCGAGATGGGACGGATAGCCGAGCTAATTACGCCTCACATTAATTTCGGCTTATCGGCGCGCTTTTTCGGCCGGACCGGCCGGGAATCGAACCCTGACCATCTTGCTAGTTAAAGCTCATTTGCTGGGGATAACAAATGTCCCCTCTGCTTTCAAGTAAAGATGCCCCTGGCAGCCTTCCAGCCTTCCATGGAGGCACGGCACATCTGGTAAGCTGCCTTGGCAGGGGCGGAAGGGAACGGAAAGGGGGGCGGGGCAGGAATTGCAAGAGGCCTTCCTGAGGTTACTGGAGCAGCTTGTTACGGCCTGTCAAAGGTAGCCGCACGACACAGTCGCACCAAGGCAAGCATCAAGTTAAGGTTAAAAACAAGAAAAGCAATAAGATAAGACTTTTTTTTTTCGAGAAAGGAATGATGGGTTAAAGGGGCCTCGGATTCGGACCGTGAAGGAAGCAGTGCTAACAAGCAGCCTGAAAGTGGCGCCGGGCAGGTGTGTGTGTGTGTGTGTGTGTGTGTGTGTGTGTGTGTGTGTGTGTGTGTGTGTGTGTGTGTGTGTGTGTGTGGTTTCGTGTGGATGGGAGGCACACGTGGGGCACAACAAAGAGAAACCAAAAGCCGGATAAGAGGAAAAGGGGACAAAAGAGGTGACGAAAGGAGCGCACGGGGAGTTAACAGGCCGGCACCTCCGGGAGGTTGGTAAACTTTATTTTTTCTACGTCACATTCCCAGCCACGCCGCTCCGAGAGGCGCCACCGCCGCCTGCTGGCTCTCTTTTTGCCGCCTCGCCTACCTTTTTCCGCCCCTCAAACATCCCGAAGCAACTTGCCGCGGTTGTCCCAGATGCCATTCCCCCCCCTAAAACGGGGAAAAGAAACAGAAAAGGGAAAACCAAGAGCGAGATACCCCCAGGGGAGTCGCTGCGAGCTACCGAGCAGCCTGCCGATAGGTGCAATGGCGAAATAAAATGGTTGCCATTGCCGCTTTCGGCGCGTTGCCGCGTCGACGCACCGAAGCGAGGGCCTTTCGGCTTTGGATGAGCAATCCATCCGTCCGACCGTCCCTCGCCTCGGAGGTCCTCGAGGCCCTGGAGGACCTCGACGCACCTTCCTTTCCGCCAGATTGCCGAGGTGGTGGCGGTGCAGCCAGACAGCGCGGCGGGGCGGGGCGCGGCGGGGCGCGGCGGGGCGGGGCGCGGCGGGGCGGGGCGCGGCAAGGCGGGGCGAGGCGGGGCGGCCAGATGAGAGCAAGAGACAGCAGACTGGTAACAACTTTTGATGAGACTTCTCTCCAGCTTCGCCGCTCCTCGCTGTGCCTCTCAGCGGGCCTCTCTAACACGCGGCGCACGTCGGGAGGGAAGGTAGTTAGGGGTGGGGGGAAAGGGTGTGCGAGTCGCGGCGAGGCGGTGCGGCTTCAGAAGTAGAAACTACTCCCAGCGTGCTGACCGCTGATCCACCAGGCCACCGTGGACGACGGTACTCCCCCCCCCCTCTCTCTCTTCCGTCGTCCTGGTGCAATCTCGGAGCCATATCTTCAGCTCTCTTGGCCCCACCCCGCCCCGCCCCGCCCGGGGACATCCACCCGCAGCCCTCCAGAACTTGCCTCCATATCTTCGACGCGCACTTTCTCCGTGACTGTGCCGCCACACTGCGTGAGAGAGACGCGGAGTAAAGAGAGGCATTATTGAGTGGCGTATCGAGTGCGGCCCGCAAATTTAATAACAAAAGAAGGGAGCGCTGAACAAGTGGTGGTGTTTCTCGTACACCGTATCACGCCGCCCGCGCGCTCGTTTGTGTGTGTGTGTGTGTGTGCGCGCGCGCGCGCGCGCCTCTCCGAAGGTGGGACACAATCGATTGCCAATATTTGGCAGACGTGCGCGCATACCGGCGGCGCGCTGCTCTCTGCCCCCACAAGGCTCCACGAAACATATTGAAGCAGCTCGCGTACAGCAAAGCAGCTGTGAGGATCAAACAAAACAGATGGTTTTCTGTTTCACTTCCAACTTTTTGCGCCGCCACGCTTAGGAACTAAGGAGAGGAACCTCGAGGGTTCAGGTTAGTGTTATGCCACGTGCGGCAAGCCGCTATTTATTCTGCGTGTGTGTGTGTGTGTGCGCGCGCGCGCGTGCGTGTGGTGATTTTCATCTGCCGGGAGCAAAGACGGAATACGGGCCTCGTCTCCTTTTCATCTCGTCGCCGTTTCCCCTCTTCCAGCCGCTCGACACACGATGTGATACACTTACACCGCCACAACAACAACAACATCAGCGGCAACAAAAACAAAACAACAACAGCGACGCCGCCACGGCACCTGACCCTCCCTTCTGTCTGCCACAGAAATTCAAATAAACGTTCCATCACATGTCTCCCTCGGAGGAAGCGGAGGTGGGGAACGAGATGAAGAACACGGCGGCGGCGCGGCCCTTTTCTGATTGAGGTGACAAGTCCCGGCATCAGGATCTCAGCCGCATTCCATCCCACCCCCCTCCAATCCCTTTTCTTATTTTCCTTTTTTTGATTGGGGGAGCGCGGG